TTGTGGAAGAGCCACACTCAAGGGGCCAAAGAGCCGCATGTGGCTTGCGAGCCACAGTTTGCCGACCACTGGCCTAGGTCCACATGGCACCTGAGCTTGGGTTTGGTTAGAAAATTAGCCATCTTCTTAAAGGAAGCTAATTCACATTTGAATCTGCCTTTTTATCAACAATGTGGGTAGAGACCTAGAAAGACAGCTGGAAAATATGTAGAGTAGGGAGAGAAAACTGACATACTGGATGATAGAGAAGGAAGGGAAAATTATAGACCCACTGGTCATATGGGATGACTGCCCTGGGGAAGACCAGCTAATTCCACTCATTGAGTGTAATTTGTTTTCAATCCAGACAGACATAGAGCTCTGAGAGCTTCAAATGAACTCTTATATCCCTGAATGTAGATGTTTCTGGTCATGATCTGAGAGCCAAGTGTTGGTGTTAGGCCACCCTAGGACCATGGCCACCTTTGGGTTGCAAGTTTATCTCAGCTGATCAGGAGAGAGAGGGGGCTTTATCCATATGTTATAAAACATGGTTGCCTCTGCAATGACACATTTTAGGGGCCCTCTCTCAAGTGGACTAGGGATGTGGCAGGTACTTGTCCAGACATCCCCTTCCCAACTTAGATGGGCAGGTATATTACATTTGCTGTTATCTCTGCTTTTTTCATAGATATGTGGAACTGACCAACTACTGCGATTATAAAGACTACAGGGAAACTATACTGAGCAAACCGATGCTGTTCTTTATTAATGTACAGACCAGAAAAGACATCTCAAAAGGTTGGTATCTAACTGTTTTGGTTTGGTTCTGCCTTGCTGGGCTGTGGACTGTGGCATGCTGATGTCAGAAATTGGGTAGGTGGAAAGCAGAGTGGATGTCGGCTTGTGACAAGGTTGGAGCCAGAAGCCCGGTGTGTCAGGCCATCTGAAGCATAGCACGAGCCTGCAAGTCAAACCTCTGCATAAGCCTGGGGCAGTAGCCATCTGTCTGAGTTTTCTTTCATACTTTCTGTCAAGGCAGGAAGTGATTTTATATTCTGAGCCTGCAGGGGTTGCAGAAATGACTGAAATGATGAAGATGAGGGTATGTAATACTGTCTACCACATGAGACACTTAGGTGTTCTGGGTCTGCTCTGGCATCAATTGGTACAACAGCTCCACAGGGCTTTTCATTCAAATGGGAACATTTTTGGACATGAAAGGAGGTACTGTGAACAATTCTTCTGGGACTAACTCAGGCAAATTAGGATGCATGGTCATCCTACCTGTGGTATTTGTACTATCCCCATTTTATAGATGACAAAACTAAGATAAAGAAAATAATACCTGTAGATGCTTTTATGTTTCGTGCTATGATATTTGAATTTCAGTTTTAGAAATGTCTCTTTATGGTTTCTTCCAAGAAATCAGACTGGCTGTTAAGAGCCATATTAACATAAGTTCCAATATGAAAATATCTCAATTTTCCCTTCTTCCTCCTGCCAGAGAGGGGAAATCATGGACATAATGATAGAAATAGAATTTTTGAAATTTATTGCGAAACATTTTCAAAGTTATTCCAAGGTAACAAGAAAGGATCTACAAGTTCCAAAGAAACTCCTTTAAACATTCAGTCTCATCCAGATTCCTGGAGCTGATGCTCTGCTCATTTCAATCCAGAGTCATTCAGCTTTTCTTTCACTTCTTAATTCAGAGTCGGAATGTTCTGGGCAGGAAGGGCCAGAACACACAGTAACTAGCAACACTCATAGAACATCTGAACCCCTGATGTTATTTGTCTTGATGATGGCCATGAATCCAGAGAGTTCTCTAGGGATATAATTCACAGATGTATTAGGTACAACTCCTGGTCCATCTCTCTGAAGGAATCGTAAGAATAAGAGGTATGTCTATTTTAACATTTTAATGAAAGTGCAGGGAGTGGGACAAGGAGGTACTTGTGGGTGGCCTACAAAAGGTACACAGTTTGTAACTATTGTGGAAGGAGGTACAGAAACCCAGTGCTGGTTCATTGTAAGGAAAGCCATGATATGAAGAGAGAGTCTATGCTACAAAAGCTTAAGTAAGATGGTGAAGTTTAAATTGTGAAAATTGTGATTAAGGTAACATGATGTCCGGCCCAGCTGCTATCCTAAACTGTACTTTTGTTTAAATTAGAAAAAGCCACCATTAACTCAAGACAATTTACTAATTCTTCCCAGAATTTTTCATAATAAATACACAAATAGGTTTGTGACTGTGAATAGTCTCCTTCAGATTGTACAGTGAATAACCTATGCAATCAGTATAGCTGTGAAGTATGCTGGCCCTGAGAATGCACAAAGGTCCTGGTTTGCTTTGTGTAAAAGTTAATTTAAGGTATAAAATAGCTTGCTTGTTTTACTTGTTTTGTTATGTCTGCTCTTAAAGAGGATATATCTAAAATGCCCAAAAATGATTTAGGAGAAAGACAGGGGTAGGAAAATTAAGATGAATAAGGTGAGTGCAAAGGTTAGTTCAAAATGTGTTCCTCAAGGATGTAACATGTGCTATTGGTGGGCCACAGGTTTAATGCTCAAAGCCAAGGAAAAATGTTGAGTTCTCAAAATTACCTAATGGCTGGCCCATGCTGTTTAAATAGAGGCTGGCAATCTATATTATGTGTCTCCCTAGAAAAAGCACTTCAGTAATTAAGGGGTTTCTGGAGGCTGAAAAGTTGAGGGGTTGTTGGTTAGTATTTCAAATTTACTAATGAGTAGACAATCTTCCTTTTGCTTAGATTATATAGAATTGGATAGAATTGGATTTAAGAGATTACAAAAACAAAAAATAACAACAACAACAACAACAACAAAAAAACAAGACAAGCAACAATAACAAAACTTAACTGTGCCAGGACACAGACATGATGTAATTTAAGAAATGGGAGGGACTTCTTACCACTGGGCACAGAAAAGAGTCCTTCTCAAATTGCCTTGATTCGTAGCACCCTAGACCAGCCCTTTGGCAGAATGAAAGTCCCTGGGGAAGAAGGGTTTAGGGGAGGGGGAGACATGGGGCAGCCTTCTTTCCTGGACTTGGCTGATGTTTTGCTTTGCAAATGACAACATGTTGGCGACAATTAGGTCGCTGTTTAAATATCCAGCAAGGCAGTGACAGGAACACTAGCCACCCCGTGTTTCCCACTTCAGCCCCCTGTGCTGCATACTAACATGGAGGCTCAGTTCTCGTTTCTGATAATGACGATTTCCCAGACCGAAGTGACAAAGTGCAGCCCAAGAAGGCCTGCTTCCTTCTCGTCTGCAAAATTCTCTGAATGTTTCTAGAAATCTGGTGAGGCTTTGCAGTGAGCGGGGCTGAAAATGAATAAAATCTGCAAGTAAGGTGGGAATCACGGCTTTGTCCAACACTAAGAAGTATGTTATGCCACACATGCACACTTCTTTTTTTGAATTCTGCTTCCAAATTTCTAGAAAGAACATATGCCTTCCTTGTGAACACAAGGCACCCCAAGATAAGACGACAGATAGAGCAAGGGATGGATATGGTCATTTCCTCAGTGATTGGAGAAAGCTACCGGCTCCAGGTGAGTGTTAGCCTGTCTGAATCCAGGACTGAGGCCCCATAGAGAGGGGTTCGAGCACTTCATGTAGGGCCGAGTCCCTAGAGCTCAGCTATAACTTAGCTGTGTCCAGACATAGATGTTTTCTATTGCTTCATAATCACTACCAATACAATGAACAGAGTTTGTAGCAACTTATTAGAAATGGGATAATAATGAATGTCAGTTTGACCAAGCACTTCAAGGTCTGTAGATGTAATATGATTCAAATACAAATGTTGGTTTTGAAAAAGTTAAGGCAATGGTTGAGCGTCAACCTATGAACCAGGAGGTCACCGTTCAATTCCCAGTCAGGGCACATGCCTGGGTTGCAGGCTTGATCCCCAGTAGGGGGCATTCAGGAGGCAGCCAATCAATGGTTCTCTCTCATCATTGATGTTTCTATCTCCCTCTCCCTTCCTCTCTGAAGTCATTTTTTAAAAGTTAAGGCAACTGTTTAAAATTTAATCTGCCAGAATGAAAGAAAAATAAGAGGTGTGACATTTTGGACATTTGGGCAGTTGTTAATAATATAGAATTCTAGGATATAACATTATCATTATATGCATGAAATTCATCAAATTTGTCTCTCTCTTTCAGTTTGATTTTCAAGAAGCAGTAAAGAATTTTTTCCCTCCAGGAAATGAGGTGGTTAATGGAGAAAATTTGAGCTTTGCCTATGAATTCAAAGCTGACGCATTATTTGATTTCTTCTATTGGTTTGGGCTCAGCAATTCCACTGTAAAGGTGAATGGAAAAGTTCTGAATTTGTCAAGTACAAGACCAGAAAAGAAGGAGACAATTAAATTATTTCTGGAAAAAATGAGTGAACCATTAATTCGAAGGAGCAGTTTCTCTGACCGAAAATTCAGTGTAACTTCTAGAGGTATGTTAAAAATTCTCATAGTTAAATAAAAGGATAGAATAGTATAATGGGAGAGGAGAGTCAATGCCTGGAAAAGATAAGGCCTCTAGATAAAGGGAAAATATAATATATCACATTATTCAGAAAGTAAGAAGTGAGACATATTTACTACCAAAAAGAAATATAGTGTTAGGCTCCTTAAAGTTTTCTGACATAGTAGTTATATTGTGCAGCACACCCAGAAAATAATTTGAAAATGTATTATTAATTTAAATACATATTAATGCTCATTTGAATGCTGTTAACACTTATTTAAATATTATGAAAGAATGATGCTTTCCTCATGTGCATATTCTGGCAACAGATATGAACAAAGATGTCCACTGGAGGAGGAGTCTACGTGGTCCATAGCCATCAATTTTACATCAATTAAAATAACTGGCCCTGGCTCATGTGACTCAGTTGACTGGAGCATTGTCCATCCATGTAACAAAAGGTTTGGGGTTCAATTCCAGTCAAGGCACATACCCAGGTTATAGGTTCCGCATACATGAGGCAGCTGATTGATGTTTCTCTCTCACAATGATGTTTCTGTCTCTCCCCCTCCTCCCTCTCTAAAATCAGTAAACGTATCCTTGGGTGAGGATTAAAAAAATTGGAAGGGTTCTCCAGAGTTTGTGAGGTCACAGTGAACAAATGACATATTATATGTGGTACATTCTGGATTTTGATATCCGTGCCTCTTTCCTAGGAGTTGAGGAGACTTGTCAGACTGGTATGGCTGAGCAGGTGACACCGGCCACACCTTCTCTAGTCAGTTCTCTCTGTCCTATGCTAGTTGGGCTATAAAGCAACTTCCTTGAACCAGGACTTTTGCTGCTAATTCCAACAAACAACCAAAAACCAAACAAACAAACAAAAAACTCCACCAGTCTCTATGAACCTGCAGTTTCAAAAAGTTTGAATGTGAAATGCAGGTCTTCATTAATTGTATTTAATACAGTTGCTTTCTTCCAATGTTTCAGCAAAAATGCTTACTCTAGCTATTTCTTATTTTGGAAGTAGCCCATCTGTCTCTGTTTCTCTCTGTCTCTCCTTCTGCTTTCTCCTCCCCTCATTCCCTCTCTTCCCTCCCTCCCCCAGTATCTTTCTCTCCCTCTTCCTCCTCTCCTCTCTCTCTGAGTGTTCCTTGCAAAGATGCCTCTGTACTCTGCTCCTTTGCAGCAGTGTGTGTGTGTGTGTGTGTGTGTGTGTGTGTGTGTGTGTGTGTGTGTGTTTTGGGGAGTGTTACCCTGATCTTTTTGGGGGAAGATGAGCTTTCCTGGTTGTGGCAGTCCGAGGTGCCTGGTCCTTCTTGTGACACCCCTCCAGCCTTACCCACTACCCTAGCAGCCTGGGTAGGGTTTTACTGTTTGACTGTTGCTTACCCTCTGTCATGTAGGTTGTGCAGAGTGTCCACTGCCATCCTGGGGACAACAGGGGTATGTGAAGTTGGGTGGTGCTTCCTTAAAATTCACTGTGAGCCAGCCCTGGGCCACTTACACTCCAGAGCCATGGGGAAGAGTTCTTCAGGGCTGGCCAGCAAGGTCAAGCTCATGGCAGAGGGCAGAGCCAAGATGCACCAGTGGCCCAACCTTTGTCCTAGGCTGTCCCAACTTTGGGCCTTTTGGCGTCAAGTGAGAAAAGGCTCATGCAACTCACTGCAAAGCTACTCCGGCCCATGGAAAAGCAAATGACAACCCAGGGCCTACTGGGAAACAAAATGTAACCCATCTCTATTGCGCTTTTGAGATTTCTGAGGAAGTCAGGATCCTCTCTTCAGTATTGAAATGGTTCCTTGTGTGTTGTGCGAGTTCTGAGGGCACTGTGGGTTTGCTTCTGTTTTCCAGTGATGGCAATAATGCCTGCTTTACTTCTTTCAGGTTCAGTAGATGACGTTTTTAACTGCAGCCTGTCACCCAGATCATCTTTGACGGAGCCTCTTTTGGCAGAATTACCGTTTCCAAGTGTTCTGGAATCTGAAGAGACACCTAACCAATTTCTCTGATTGGACTGAACATGTCTAGTTCCTCCTACACTCCAGGCCAACTGAAGGTTGAGGGGTGGAGCAGGGAGGTGGGAGGCAGGCCTTCCACCCTCTGGTCCACCCCTCTACTCCTCCAAGAGAGTGCTCCTCTCACATTTCCCTGGGTGCTGCCTTGCCCTGGCAGGCTCCATGTAGCTGACTTCAGGATGGGAGGGCACTGGCCCCATCGCTGGGTATCCCCGCCTTTGAACACTTCTCCTAAGAGGCAGAGGGACCAGTGGGGTCCTGCCACCCTGAGTGCTTTGTGTAGAACCTTAGCACCTAGGGAGTTTCTTTGGCAGTCTCGGTAGGACCAGTCTGATTTGGGCATTGACCATGATGCTTCATAAGTCACGGTTTGTCCCTCTGCTTGGGACACCCTTGTCTGAACCCGAACTTAGCCAGCACGGTATTAGCTGTGCTGTTCTTTTGCAAACTTGGCTGGCACCTTTCACTGGAAGGCAAATGTATTTCTCATCCTGCCTTAGAAGAACTATTCTAGGTAAGGTTTGCTGGCGATTAGCCAGGTTGACAGGATGGCAGCCCTGCCACCTGCTGCCTAAAATTTGAACTCCCTTGGCCTCCCTCTTAACAAAGCGGCCGATGTAGAAAGAGGCCAGGTGATGTGCAATGAAACAGTGACAGGAAAAGGATCATGATTATAGCAGTGTCCTCTTTCTATACAGAAATGATATGAAAGCACATTATGTCAGTTGGGTATTATTATTTACTTTTTTAATTGAATTTATGAGGGTGACATCCTATCTAATAAGAGTAATATGAA